TGCTGATGAATAGGAGACGCTGCTTATAAAGAGGAGGGAATGCTAATGAAGAGGAGGGGTTGGTGATGAAGGGGAGGGGCTGCTGATTAAGAGATGCTGATGATGATGAAGAGGGGATGGTGATGAAAGGATAAAAAGGGGCAGCTGTTGAAGGCTGATGTAGAGGAGGGGCTGCTGATGAAGAGGAGCGGCTGCAGATGAAGAGGAGGGGCTGCTGACAAAGGCTTAAAGGGGAGGAGCTGATGATAAAGATGAGGGGCTGCTGATGATAAGGAGATGCTGCTGATGAAGAGGGGGGCTTGTGATGAAGGGGAGGGGCTGGTGATGAAGGGGATGTGCTGCTGATGAAGAGGACGGCTGGTGATGAAGGGGAAGGGCTTCTGACAAAGAGGAGGAGATGGTGATGAAGGGGAGGGGCTGCTGATGAAAATGAAAGGTTGTTGATGAAGAGACGGAGCTGCTGATGAAGGTGAGAAGCTGATGATGAAGAGGAGGAGCTGATGAACAGAAGGATCTGGTGATGAAAAGGTAGGGATGGTGATGAAGGGGAGGGGCTGTTGATGAAGAGGCGGTTAGTGATGAAGAGGAGTTTGCTGATAAAGAGGAGAGGTTGCTGATGAAGAGGAGGAGCTGATGAAGAGGAGGGGCTTGTGATGAAGAGGAAGGAATGGTGATGAAGAGGAGGAGCTGATAATAAGGAGGAGCTGATGAGGAGAAAGGGCTGGTGATGAAAAGGTAGGGATGGTGATGTAGGGGAGGGGCTGTTGATGAAGAGAGGCTGGTGAAGAAGAGGAGGTGCTGATGATGAAGAGGAGGAGCTGATAAAGAGAAGGGGCTGGTGGTGAAAAGGTAGGGAAGGTGATGAAGGGGAGGGGCTGTTGATGAAGGAGCGGGGCTGGTAATGAAAGAGAGGAGCTGGTGATAAAGAGGAGAGGATGCTGGTGAAGAGGAGGGGCTGCTGATGAAGAGGAGGGGTTGATAATAAGGAGCAGGAGCTGATGAAGAGAAAGGGCTGGTGATCAAAAGGTAGGGATGGTGATGTAGGGGAGGGGCTGTTGATGAAGAGAGGCTGGTGAAGAAGAGGAGGTGCTGATGATGAAGAGGAGGAGCTGATAAAGAGAAGGGGCTGGTGGTGAAAAGGTAGGGAAGGTGATGAAGGGGAGGGGCTGTTGATGAAGGGGCGGGGCTGGTAATGAAAGAGAGGAGCTGGTGATAAAGAGGAGAGGTTGCTGGTGAAGAGGAGGGGCTGCTGATGAAGAGGAGGGGCTGATAATAAGGAGGAGGAGCTGATGAAGAGAAAGGGCTGGTGATGAAAAGGTAGGGATGGTGATGTAGGGGAGGGGCTGTTGATGAAGAGGCGGGGCTGGAGATAAAAGGGGGGCTGATGATGAAGAGGAGGAGCAGATAAAAAATTGGAGCTGGTGATGAAGAGGAGGGGCTGGTGATCAAGACGAGGAGCTGATGATGAAGAGGAG